GCTTCAAGAAGCCCTTGGCAAACAAGTTCAGCGCTTCTTTCTCTTTTCCTTGCCTTATCTGGCTCTCATTATCTCCGGGAAACTGGTCAGATTACGGCGTATTGGGGCCCATTAACGCTGCAGATGCCGGGAGGTGCAGGGTTGACGCGCACTCAACCCAAATACGAGCAAATAAAAACAACCCCTGGTGGTGTTTTTAGGGGTGTTGTAGGTCGCGTAGGGTGGTTGGGAGACATACCAGAACTGGAAATGCAACATGGATCATTTGAGATATCTATGTGCCAGACATAATGCAGCAAAGAACATGTCATGTCTTTACAGACACAGTACAGACATGCACTCACAGAAAAACAAAACAAAACGTGGGATCACCTTTGATATCTAAAAGGCTTGTAAAAGCTGCTTTGGGATCGGCCGTTCACCTGCTACCTGTCTTTATTTTTCTCATAAGGCCAATTTGTGGTCACTGGCCGCTTTTAAAGGCAACCCACATGACCCCCCCTGATAAAACAAGACAGAAAAGACTCAAGAAGAGAGCCCAAAGGGACGCTGGAATCGGGTGCGTGTGAGGGTCTGGTTACCGAGATAAAAGCATCGCGGCTGCTGAGCGATAGGACGGATCGCAGCTACACAAGAGTTCTTGGATCTTGAACGGTTATGCAACTTGTCCTCTGAAGAAAATCATGGCAAGTCACACGCCTGTGTCACTTGGGACAACTTGCAAAGTGCTTGAGATAGAACGAGTGCGCTTCGGAGTACAGGAGACCAGCAACTGCACATGTTTGCATATATGTATGTAGATAACTCACCCAACAACATATTTATGATACTGTAATGATGTTGTACTATAAAAATTTTAAATCAGGCTCCAAAAATCAGATCAGACCAAATAAAACTGTTAAATGACAAATAAATATACAAGATACAATTTTCCGTTTAAAGCTGATTAAAAGAGTACCGGGTAACTTTGACCTGTTGTTCTAAGCACACAAAAAAGCTCCGCAGCAAGTGAAATATCTTGCTGGTGCTTCCCCATCTGTGCTCATCATTAAACTGATCCTTTGATCTCATCCCAGTTCTTTCTGCGAAATTACCTCCTCCAGGGATGAGGCTAAAAGATAGAGAGATTGTGTGGATTGCCGAGGAAGAATTTCACTCTTGAGTCACTGAGGCACTTCAGTGCTGAACTGTAAAAATGTCAACCGCCCGTTAACCAGGAAGCAGCCTGCTCACGGGGGGGAACCCTCTCTAAATCCACCGCTGTTACTAATTCCGGCATGGCGGTGGTCTGCACTCTGTTAAAGGCCATTCAAGTTTTCAAATGTGTTAGGTTTGTATTCCTAAGAAAGGTCACTGTGGATCTACAGAACCTATAGCCAAGGGGAGATGAGTGGCAAAATGCCAAAGTCATCACAAAGTGGAGACAGCTCTTTCCTTTGACTGGCAACCTGGAGAGCTGATATGGATCAGTGGGAAACCTTTGAGGCTCACGTTTTGATGGACGCGAGGGAGGTGTGTAATCCGACCTTGCTGCTGATCAGAGAAGGATTAACACTGTGACCCCAGGGGGCAGAGGTTATCTGCTCAGGCGATGTCACGGGCTGAAGGGCTGCAAATAAATGATTTCCCCGTGCAGACCAGCCGTTCAATCGAAACAGTGTGTTGCATAGATGTCGTCACCGGTGGACATCACAAATTGTCCATTTAACCATTTTCGGGGGGATGCTGCTTTGAAGGGATCCCGCGAGAGATCCTCATCAGTTTAAAGTGAAGCAAAAGGAGTATGAGGTGGGGTGAAGGGAAAAAAGAAAAAAGAAAAAAAGAGAACTTCAGTACAATATGCCCATTTACGGTCAGTCACTAATCCACAAGTTTATGAAGGTCTCGAGAGAGGAAAGCAAAACATTGAAGGCCCCGTTCTTAACTTGACTTCACCAAGAAAGCAAACAGCTTGAGTGAAAGTATCTGCACTCCGGACAAATGTCTGTCACGGCATACACATAAGTATGTAATGCTATTATTTTGGTTTATCCATCGGTGCTTTTCACAAAAAAATAAGTCAATAAAATGAAAAACTACAGTGGTACCTGTATTTACGAAATTAATTGGTTCTGGAAGAAATTTCTTAACTAAAAAAAATTGTAAGTCGAGACGTGGTTTCCATGGAAATGCCCTAATCTGTTCCAAGCCCCCGCAAAATTCAGACCTAAATGTTTTCTAAAGCATAATGATGCATCAAAATCTGTAACAAATCCATGTTACAGTTAGATTATTGCACAATAAATGAGAGTTGTGCAGAATGTAAAAAAATCAAAGAATAGAGTAAAGAATTAAAATGATGGTCATTTAACTTAACTGCGTCCTCATCATTTTTTGCCCTCTTTAGTTCATGTTCTCTCTCAGAAGTGGTTTTTGCCTGGTGTTTTGTAAAGAACTGATCCATGGACGTTTGCTTTTGTCGGCTTTTAACAATCCTTCCAAAAATGTCCAAGGCAAACATCAGCATAGTGAGCGATCGACCGACAGGTGAACACTTTTTCTGGGTGATTCACATTTACATAAAACTATCGGTGCGCCTCATGGCCCAAGGGGCGAATGAAGAGGACGCTGCATAGACACATATCCATCTATTTATCTATCTACACTCATAGATACATACGGTAGAGGTCCCTTTTAGCCAAGGGGATGCCAGGAAGATGCTCGGTAATAGCTAATGGCAGAGACGCTATAATAAGTATGTCGCGTTCAGGAAACTCAGAGCGTCGAGTAGCGGTCCATACTGTATTTTTACCTTTTGTATCTTCAAATTTCTTTCGTAACAAGAGGCAATATTTTTCTGTTAAGGCGTTTCATAACTTGACAATTTCGTATGAAGAGACGTTCGTAAGTAGAGGAACCACTGTAAGAAATAACTAAAAAACTGAACACAACTATAATTCCTCAGGTTGTTTCATCAAGACAGCAATGGGTACCAATGCCCAAAATGTCCATGTACTATACAGTTGTACTACACACAGTACTGAGAGACCAGCTAAGAACATCTTCCGAAAGCGAATCATTTTGTTTCTATAAAGCCTTCCCACTCACATAATCAAGCGCACACTGTTCCCACCCTCTCAAGGGTTTGGGACATGGCCCTCCGTTCTCTCCCTCGCTCCGTCTTCATTTTATGTCTCAAACATGTGGTGTATTTATTTGCTCCCCCCACCCCCCTCTGTTGTTGGCTAGAAGTGGACGTTCCCAGCAACTTTTGTCTCTGTGACTGGCGGCCAAGACAATGTAGGTGGGATTTACTGTTCTATATGAGTTTAAAATAAAAGGAATAAAAAAAAAAAAATAAAAAAAAACACGAAAAGGACAACAATAAACAAATACTGTAACAGGAAGTTATTATATAGTAGAACCTCTGGGGTGGAAGAGAACAAGTTGCAGGAAATTAATGGACTTCTGAATTTGTTTGAATCCTGAAACAATTTCCCAAAGGAAGTAATGGAAGTAAAACTATTCTCAAGAACATTTTAACGATCTAAACAGTTGTAAAAGTGCAATTAATCACTTCACAGAAAAAGCTTAACGTTCACAACAAAGGGATAATGCAAAGTAGATTGACTCTGAAGCCTCATCACTCAAACTTTTTTTTTTTTTAAACAAATATTCTATAGTCAAAGGTTAACCACTGTTATTACAAACATGCACAAGCCACAACCCACTAAGTCTTAAATTTGGGAAGCAGCAAATGTAACGTGGCGTACTGGAGTGTTACTGCTTTGAATGTGAGCCCACCTCACTTAACTGGGGGTGCATTTTCTCTTTTTGACCTTTCAAGCTGTTTCTTCTCTTGCTATGGTTGGCTGTTCCTTTGGGGGGAAAAAATGTAGTGAAAAGGCCACAAAGGCCAGAGGAGAAGCAAAACACTTCCAAATTAATCTGCTGATACTCACCGAACTGAGGTATGACATGATTTGCTGAATTCCAAGATTTGGTCTGTCTTTGAATTAGATTTTTTTTTTTCCCCTCCAAAAATTTTTATATCCTCAGCGTTAGCTTTAGAGGTTGCGCCATAATTTGAATAAATCCTCATGACAAAAAAACGTTCTGTATAGTCCTACTTAAAATAAACCTCAGGTCATGATCGCGAGTGAAGCTTGTGAACCGAATGTGTCTAAACGACAGCCATAATGTACACGATTTGTGCTGTACAAGTGACTCACGGATGTGACAAAGATCCGCATAAGCAGCGCAGAGAAAACAGGAAACGTTGGGAGTTTGTTGAAGTTGTTTTCCAAACCGAAATATGCCTAATGAGAAGCAGCCCACGCGCGCCAAGGCATCATTTTGGAGTTGAAGCTTTCCTTTCACACACAAGTCATGTATGTGATCTAATGCTTGCCCCACTTTCCGTCGAGTTCGACATAAATACGTCAGCTGTCAAACTGTCACCGATCTCGCTGAAGCAACAAACAAACGTTGAAACAGTTTCACCGAATCAGATGGTCTGCTCAAGTTTGACATCCAGGCTCACCAATAACGAGCTCAATGTTTAAATTCATTTAAACTGACGATAAGAGGTACTTAGAACCCTCAGAGGAGATCATGAGGTGAAGCTTGAGCAAATGACAGCAATTTGCTATAATCGAGGGGGAAAATGACAATAGGCAGGCTTCACTTGACCAACCGACATTTCCCTCGTGGAAAAACTCACACATGACTCCTCTGTAGGGGGCTCTGAAAAAAAACCTTATCATTTACGAAAGAATGGACAGCCTCCAAGTAACCACGAAGATGCTAGGGGAAATCCCATTAGACTAAAAGTGGCTTTCAGACTCTCTTACTCCAACTAGAGAAAGTAGAGGCTAACCACTCCAAAACCGCGCCATTGTGCTAAGAGGCTAGACAGCCAATCAAAAAGGAGTCACATGTTTGGGAAATCTCCCCAAGAAGGACACACAAGCGTCTCAAATTTTTTGGCGGGGGATCACTGGTGGCTCCTCCTCTCTTACCTGAACTTGCCCTTTGCCCATGATCTTATCCACAATCTCATTGTCATCCTTGTTGAGCATGCTCTTGTCGTAACACTTCTCATAGCACAGGATTCGCAAAAACTGGGACCCCTCCAGCTCGATCTCAAACTCCTGTTGAAGGACACAAGGACGGTTAATAAAGCGCCGGCAGGGTCAAGCTGAAAACCTGAAGGACGTGTTGTGTTTTTTTTTTCCCACTGACTTCATTCCACTGAGGTTCGGCGGTGTCTCTGAAGACTCTGGTCTTAGCTTTGCTCACAAAATATCCATAAGAGTCCACTTCGAGGGTGCAGTACAGGTCTAGAAGGAAACGAAGAGGATGATTAAATGGCAGATTTTACACTAAATACAGCTTCATCAAAATCAATTTGTAGGCTTGCAACGAATTTCACGGGGCAGTGAGGATTTGAAAAGTTATTACTTAATACTCAACGACATTCATATTGACCTGAAAATAAATGTCCCAAAGGCATATTTCTGTTTTTTCAGACTGCACACATTCAATCCTAGGTACTTATTTATATTGTTTTCATTTTTTTTCCCAAGACTCCCAAGGGTCTGAAAATTGAATGAGTTCATATCATGCTTTTACTTTTGATACCCCCTATATTGTCATGAGATCATATTCAGTAATTAGATGAGATTCACTCATCATAATCAAATGAAGGTGATGTGACGGTAATAAAGTAGGATGCACTCATCAGCGAGCTGAGAAAGCAACGGGACTATTCAAATTGACACCTGGGGTTGCTTTTAAGTAAATGATTATTTTAATCACTTCTCATTATGCATGTCATGTTTATAGTCTCATATGAACACAGGCGGAAGAGGAAGTAAAATAATACAATAAAGAAAAGGAGGTTTGTCGCATCAAACTGAAGTACAAGTCGTCCTTGAAATGTCAATTTACTGTATTCTGTGAGCGGAAAGGCATCAATTTCCAGTCAGTGTACACACTCATCATGAGAGTCACTCTCTTGGGATCGGGCCCCTCTTGTCCCTTGAACGAAGCAATTATTTTGGTTAATGTGTGTGTGTGTGTGTTTTTTTAAATGCTGTTGTAGCATTTCTTGCAGGCTGCGTTGCTATCCTGCCTGTCTATACGTCCCGTATCCTCGACCTGCTCCCTCGGGTAAGACTCCTCCTGACGTGATGATGGATGGAAAGACGTATGACTCGACCTTTCACCGGGACAGCGGCCGAGATTGAGCGAAGGATGTACAGACGGAAGAAGGGATGTGGGGTGTGCATGTGTGCTGAAACCTCATAGACATATAAACACTCTGCAAGCCTGACAGAGAATGTTTATACGGAGAACCCACGTTTATTGCAAGAGATACATTCCAGATCCACCCGCAAAACGTGAAAATATGTGGTATAAAGCGACCTGATCAAAAGCACTGAAGAAATACATTTTTAGCACACTAAATGATTTTTTTTTAAACACACACACATTGTAATTATATTTAAACGCAAAAAAGTAAATTGCAAGCATAAAATGTAAATGAAATATTGTGCTAATTTAATTATCTATGAACGTGCATGTGCCTTTAAGAGGCGTGGCTTGGAGGTGTGGGGGTGTGACGTCCGAGTGAGTGAGAACAGCTGACAGCAGTTTCTACGTGAGTTTACTCACTGTTTTACTGTTGCATTGGCCACTCTAACTCTCTCTCTTATATGTTTAATTTGACTGTGACCATGTCCGTAACTCAAAACACCTTTCCTCAGTGAAATAAATGGACATCCTATTAATCTGTTCCAGCCTCTCAATTGTTATATTGTCTGCCTACATGTGTTGCTGCACTCTTTGTCTTAAAATATATGTGGCTTAAAGGGTTACTACAACAGTTTACTGCGTTTTGTAGCATGTGTTACCATTAAGCTAGCGGATGTTTGTCAAAATCAATGTTTTTTTTTTTTTTGGTCAAATACACAATGCCTAATTCTCTCGGTTTAATTTTTACTTTTCCAGTAAACTCCAATTTGAAGTGGCAAGAAGCAGCCTGAAGCACTGAGCGTCTTTCTTGAAGGACTGTTCACCATCTGCTGAAAACTGCTGGTCGTGAAGGTCGTAACTCAAATGTTGCTAGCAACTGAGAAATCGTCCGCACGAAGGCTTGAATTTCGTAAAACTTACTTGGGTCGCTTCTAAGTCAAGGTACCACTGTATACATCTCATCAAAACACAATAAAGTATGGGGCGATCTAGAAATTAGAAGCAATAGAATGTTGGTTTGCTTGAAGGTATGAGAGACAACAAGTACAGTATTATCATCCTTGTGAAAAAAAGTCAAATACTTTCACAAAATAACAGGACTGTCCAATATAATGAACCTCATTCCATCTAGTCTGGTTCCGCCTGCTTGTTTTCTCAGCATCCTGAAAAGCGGCCATAATTACTCAGAGGGAGGAAGATTAGTGGTGATGATACGAGGGAAGTTCATCGGAGGGGGAATTCAGTGTGGCCACGTGGGAGATATTTAATAAACTGATTGTTGTCATACACTTTAACAAACAGAAGCACGACTGTCACTTTTTGGTGGACACCTCAAATCCACAGCCCACATTAAAATTGAAAGAAACATTCCAGAAAAGGAATTGGAAAAAGGATTGTGTTTAAGACAGAAGGCTTTTATGTGCATAACTCCCAACATTTCTCTGAAATGCGTTTCTCTGCCCAAATATTGGACTCAAAGGTCAGGGTAATATTTTTTTTGGTGTGTGTCTGTCCAGAGGACTCCAGAACAAAGTAGGACAAACTCAAAGTGTCCCGGAACTTGATGAATTTCTATTTCCCTGGCAGGTCAACCCGAGGCTGACTCTGAGGGGGATGAATTGGTCTGCATGAGGTCTCTGAACCCTTAAAAGAGAGGTTAATGGATACCATCCTTTTCCATCTCGCTTGACTCAGGGCTGTAGCCTCGTTGTGTGTTCTAATACAGGACGCTAAGCTTCGCCTCAGGTTGTGTTGAATGCCGGGTCAAACTAAGGCTCCGCAGAATGGGTTGACAAGTGACAGCCCGTTAACCGAAGAAGAAGCTTTATAGCTCCAAGAACCAGCCACTGAGTCGCACCATTATCTGCCCGGCGTGACTGGGGAAAATTGTTAGCAAACCGTCATAATTGAATTGTTGGAAAACTAATAATAGCAAAGAACACAGCAGACAGTAATCCAGGCGACCATGGCTTTAATTCAATTGGGAGTGAATTACATGTCTTGATTCGGGATGTGCCATGACCAAAAAAAAAACCCCAAAAAAACAGATTGATATCCATTTTGTCAATGGCCTAATGTGAACTTTAATTTGAGGTAATTAACGGGACCGATCGTGTAGCACGGCCAAGTCCACTTTTATTGAGTTAATTTGCATCAGCATCCCTCATTTGGCCTGCATACACGCAGAAAAATAAACCAAGAGCTAAACTCTCACTTTACCAGGTCATGTTTTTATAGAATACTGGAGTTATTATTTGAGAAGTTCGACATCTCGCTTCTGCTTCTGTGACCTAGTTTGTCTCCCTTACCCTGAGCTAAATGAAAAGCCTATTCCCACAGGAAAACGACAATCATTTAGATGCATGTGTGACTTCACAAACAAACAAAAACACGCAACAGGATTATCTGACTACATGTTTTCTCGACACTCGGAAATCGTGAAAATTGGCCGTTATTAGACATGCTGACTGTAGTATCATGTGCCTTGCCACCAACCAAATTCATGTGTTGTTATCTTTAGTTGCGCAGGAAGTGTGGCTTTCTAACAAATGGAATGTCTCAAGTAGAACCGATGTAGGAGACAAAAAAAAACAACAAAAAAAACCCATCAGTCATGCTAAAACCCTTAACAGCATTGATGCCGAAAATGCACATGGATTTGGATCCCGAAGACTGTAATTGGTAGCGTTAAAAGACATGTTAAAGATGAAGAAAAAAAAATGTCTTCATCATCTTCTGTCACTGATCAAGACATAGTGAGAGCAAGGAACGTTACGATGGTCAACACCAGATATTTCCTCGTTGGTAACCATCTCACCTCTTGGCTCTCTACCAAGGATCAAAAAGGCCTTCTGAGGAGATTGCACTCCAATCCATTAGCCGGAACATTCTTGCAGGCGGCTTTCCTACACTCACAGCTGTCATGGCAACTGAGGAAATCATCTTTTACTGTCTCGTTTCACGTTATTTGATATTTAAACTCAGTGTGTGTGTGTGTGTGTGTGTGTGTGTGTGTGTGTGTGTGTGTGTGTGTGTGTCTGCATACAATGTGCACCGAAACACCAGCTGTCCATTTGTGGCACATCTGAAATAGCCTCTGTGCAGACTTGGAAACATCACACACGCACATGCGCGCGCACGCACGCACGCACGCGGGCACACAGCCGTCTGCGCGATAAAAACAGGATGCAAAATGAGACAGGAAGTAGGATTCAAAATTTAAAAGACAAAAACTAGTCTTATCTTCACACTGCAGCTCAATTGAGATTTTTTTGGCCGATATGCGACACGTTTTTTGATGTTTTTCATGCAGTGTGAAGAGTACATCTCTGAATTTGTTCCCAATCTCATCTGGGCCGCCTTCCATTGTGGATAATTAAACGCGTACTTATGTGGCGCGTCTGCAATATGAACACCGATCCGAACACATCCGACCTCTCTTTATGAAATTATGCCTGACTGTGATTATTTAAAACTCTTCATCCTGCCGTCTGAGGGGAAAAAAAAAAAAAAAATCACATTCTAGTGAGAAACAGCCCGCCCCCTCCCAACCCCCGCTCCCTGCCTTTCTGTCCTCTTCCTCCTCTACGTGGCCATCGCCTGATGAAAACAACACATGCACAACACAATGATTGACTGGCTCATGTGTGTGCCAGCATCCTCTCCAGAGCAGCTGTGTGCAAGGAGTATGCACAGCTACAGTGTGTGCACGACGGGTGTGGTGAAGAACAAAAGTTGGTGCACTTACTGGCTGACTCCTTGAATCCTTTGGCAGAGTGGACGATGACGTGAAGGAAGCCGTACAAGCCTGGAGTCTCTTCATCTGGGCATAAAAGCATCACATTGACTTGAAAACCCAGATTTTTATATATGTGCCAATGGGGGGTGTCTGTGAACGGTTTAGGGTGACCCTTCGCATTAACGGTTACGAAATTATGTCAGAGTTGTTTTAAGTGAGTGACAATCACAGGACGAGGGTTCAAATGTTCAGCTTGGAGGGGGCTTAAAGAGCTGTCAGTTATCCATACCGTATATCCATTTCCTATTTCACCAGTCAAGAACACGGGTGAACCTATCCCAGCTGACTTTGGCCGAGAAAAAAATTGTTCAGTTAACCTAAAACTTGGCCACTTCAACTTGTGTTTATGACATATATTTAAAAAAAGTTACAACATATGCAGGGCAGTTAAACATATCTAAAAAAAAATCTGTCCAATTCTCAAACATGCCATTAGCAAAAATTTCAAACTACTGTCATAGTGGCATATGTATTTTTTTAAAAGCACCGGTACCATAAGACATTCAACTTCAAACATTTTCTAGCTAAACAAAATATGTTGTATAACTCACATTTGCTTATTTTAAATTTAAAATGACACATTTTAATTGAACTGCTTGTAACATTAAATATTTGCTACTTTTTTTAAAACAGTTTCAACAAGTTGAAATTTGATGCAAGTCATGCTTACATTTCATTGTTAAAATATGGAGTATGCCAACAGAAAAAAATGTGCAGCGGACGGCAACGTCTGACCCTTGACCTCGAACATGCAAACTCCACAAAGAAAGGCCAAAGCAAATACAGGACCTCTGACTGTGATGCAACATACTAAGCAGTCTTACACTCAACTAAATGTTTTTTTTTTAAAATGGAAAATACTTAAATATAAACAAGAGGAACGCTTTAACTATTTTCTCAGTCATAGGACAAATATACTGAAACAGCTTTCCAATTTTGGGCCTCTGCAAGGTTATCCAATCAGTTAATTACTGTATGAGAACATTCCTTGACCAGCTGGTCTCAATTTGAACCACTACTGTGCTCTGTGTAGCCCATGTCATTGTGCATGCATGTGCGTTTGTCTCCATGTTGGTTTTACGATGAGCGGTGCATCTGCCTTGAAGTCAGGAGACGCATGTTTTAATCGCCATGGATGTGCGAGATTTCTCCATGTACTGGGCTTTCCTTCCACATCCCAAAAACATGAATGCCTCATAACGTTTCATAGCAAATGTGTGTTTGAACGTTTTTTTTTTTTTTCTTTCATAGCAAATGTGTGTTTGAACGGTTTTTTTTAAATTTATCCCATACAGCCAGAGGAGGGCGACATCGCACATGGTGCACATGTTTTTAAACTAATACATTCATATCCATCCATCCATCCATCCATCCACTTATCCTGAATAGGGTTGTTGCTGGAGCCTATCCCAGCTGACTTCGAGCTGGATTATTGATTTATTTCAATCATTTACAAATATTCTATTAAGTGGAACCCAGAGAACATGGCTGAAATATATACGCAGTACGGTACACATTATGAAGTCAAAAATGTTTTGTTTACAGTTGGGGATTTGAACATAAAGGGTGATCTGTTCGAGTTTGCAGAGGCCTTTGCACTCTAGGTTGGGGGTCATTTTGTGCATGTTGTAGACTGAGACAGTATGTCTATCAATGTGAAATCAGAGACACTTGTGGCATTCAGGGATGTCAGAGGAGGTCAACCAGATGGCTCTAATGCCAGTCGCGGCTCCCGAAAGCACGACAATGTGGGAATGTGCAGCAAAAACAAATATATAGACTGAGAGCTCAGTGTCAGCCAACAGTTTGACACAGTGCGCCACATTGTGAATGCCAGCAAATGGATAAAAATATGTGTTAACCGACATTCCACCACAAGCGGTTTGAGGGTTATTCAATTTAAAGCAGAATGTTGGAAAAACAAGAATTTATTTAAATGAGCGTGTGTCTTACCATCTTTATTACTGGTGACAGGAATATTGTGGACAGTTCGGAGTTTGAAACAGGAGCTCGTAAGGACCTGCAACTCTACTGAACTTAATACACACGCCTGAAGGTCTGAAAATACACAGAATACACACTGCTGTAGTTAGTGGCGCACTTCTTTCATTAGGTACAAATCAACAATTGTGTTTGGATGAATATCACCTTTCTTTTGGAGCTTCTGAATGCTTTCCCGCCATTCTGACCTCTCATAATCAGAGGAAAGCAGGAACAGGTAGCTCTGCATGAGAGAACCATTCGCATTAAAAGCCAATTAACGACTTGACGTATGGCTCCACCTAGTGGTTATACTAGAGCACTGCAGCAATCTATGACGACAGAGAACTTACCTTGCCATGTTTGTTGTGAAGGCGGAAGGGGATTGTGGGGGAGTGGAGCAGCAGCCAGGATTCCTGTTCGTTCATTTTCTTCCTTAGACGCTCCACGCGGTTCTGACCCTTTGGTGCTTTCTAAAACAACACCACCGCCCCCCAAAAAATATTTGAGGACACACCTTTTTGGATTGTCAGGTATGTTGAACCAAACCAATGTAAAGGAGGTTAGGTTAAATTTTTTAAAATAAAATAAAAACAGATGAGATTAATTGGAAATGCTGTAATCGGCTACAAAGTGTTGCTAGTGTTGCTAGTCAGACAGCGTTTCATGTTTAAATGATTCTTCAGAATGGTGGTTCAAGACTTTAATTCTGTTTCTTTTTCCTTACTTAACTTTGCCCAACAAATTGAGTCAACGATCTTTATACATTCAATGTTCAGTAACTTCTCAAAACCCCCCCCCCCTCGAAAAAAAAAAAAAAATCACAGTTGTGATCAGCCTCGTGACCGTTTTTGTGGGAACACCTGTACATGTCTCAAATTTAACTGCTAATTACGTTATTTATTCTCAGTGGACCGAAGGAACATGAATACACAGATCTTCCCCAGGAAGCTGTGAGTCAGTCAGTGTTCTATCAGATGCATCGTTCCTCTGGCTGGAAATAGAAGACGTGTTTGCTCCATGTGCCCTGAGTGGGAGACTTTAGCACCATATGCAAGCGGGATAACAGGAACTCTCTGCTCCCCTTCAGGGCGACATTACTGTATGTCTGAAAATTAACTAGTAATTTTCTGACTGCTACTGTCCGAATTTACTAGTTATTTACTTGTAAGACACTTGTCGTGGCACGCCAGAGTAATTCTATTGGTCTGCTAATTGTTTTAGTAGTGAGGTAAGATGGATACCAAAGATATCGAAAAAAAATGCAGAAAACAGCTTTCCATATGAACTGCATTGGTCTTTTATGGATAAGCAATCATAGGAATTGTTACTAGAAGTAAGCCACATAAATGTAAAGGTTCTCCAAGAAAAAAGCTGCGTCTGACGCAGACTGTCTCTTGTATTTTATTGCTGGAATTAGACCTGACTTCATATAATAATCCCGTAGGAATTTGCTGCGGATTTCAAAGCTCTCCGCTGAAAATTAAAAATAGTCAGCAGAAATAAGGGCGAGGTACAGAATATTACATTTACATGTAGTTTTCATCCTACCAGCTAGATGTCGCAGTCAGATGTCACTTGCTTTGTCACTAATAGCACTTGTTCTGCCTCAAACCCAGAGTTTGGTGAAATAGTTGCACTTTATAAGTAACGGAAATTAAGTGCATTATTTTTTAAATTATTATTAATAGTATTATTATTTTATTTCCAGAATGTTCCAAGGTGTTTTGGTTTTGCAGATAATTTTCCTAGAATTCTTACTTCATTGGTACATTAATTTGCTTTTATATATATATATATATATATATATATATATATATATATATATTTCTAATGCCTGTGGGAAATCAAATTTCAAGCCATGGAATCAAGATTTGCTCTCCATAGAATCAGAATTGTTCTCTGCGGAATACTGGGGAAACTAATATATCAGTGCAAAGCTTACCTTCTCTTTTTGGATCTCACTCTTTAAGAGTGAGATCTTTATCTTCATCTCTTCAATCTCATGCTCAGGGAGGACTTGGATACTATGGCAAGAGTCAGACTCGTCCAGGGTTTGGAAAGTCAAATCTGCCAGAGGGATGTACCACTTGCACTCATATTGCTGGTGACGACTGCGGGGAAACAAAGTGAGGGTGGAAAAAGATCAGCAAATCAGTCATCATATGGCCAAGTACATACATATATAATATGTATGTACAGTACATTACATCCACTGTGGAAAAAAAAAACATGGAAGGAAGCTCACCCAACAGAGGTCTTCTTCATTTTGGCACAGAGCAGCAGGTCAGTGAAGAGGAAGACGTGGCGTAGCTTCCTGGAGCTTTCTGACACCTCCACAAGGAAGCCATCTTTCACCAGCTGACGAGCCTGAGCAAATTGGAATGAAACATGGCATTCGTACGAGGTCATGAAAAAGAGGTTGTCTGGGATTAAAGCGTACCTCTCCTTTGGGCGTGGTGACAGCGGTCCTGCGAGGGTCAATCTCCTCATTGATGGAGGAGAGAAAATTCTGAGATATCCGCAGAGCGTCCTGCAGGAGGGGGAAGTCTGGATGGTCCTTTGGCGTGTGTTTCAGCAAGTCCTGCAGTGCATACACCAAAGGTTTGAAAAAATAAAAATAAAAATAAAATAAACACTCGGATCTTCAATGTAAATCCATTATAAGCCCTGGTATAAAGCGTGTACCGGTACTCACATGAAGAACTAGGGTGCTCCTTGTCACACGGTCAATGGGTTTATAAAGAAGAGCTGTATGGAGAGAAGAAGTCGAAGGTCACGTTCAATTTATCAAAAAAAAAAAAAAACGTCACACTCAAGTGTCCTTTAGACATGCACTTGACCCGGTAACTTTGAAAGAAAGAAATCCAAAAGATTTTTTATAGGATCAACACATCTGATGAGGTGAGTAAAGGGGAATGGAGTGCACACACGCGTACATACAAGCACTCACACGCGCACACATTTGGCAGCCCGACGTGGTATCCGCTTTGCTGTTAAGGTAGTGTGAAGAACAGCCGCTTTGACAGCTCAAGGTGAGAAACACCCACAGAAAAACACAAAAAGGAAGATGGGCAGCAAACGAGCTAACTGATGTTGACATAATTAGGTAAGCCTGTACACTCTATTGAGATTGTATTCGAGGAAAATCATCTCAACTCCTCACAGCTCATGGCCACGGCACTAATGTTTGTCATTCTTCAGAGGGGATAAAGAATATGACCGACTAGCATTATAATGACTATCTACAAATGGATCATCATTTGTGATAAATCTGTTGCAATTTAGCATTAGCATTAAGGTAGCGAACTGAAAGGCTTAACTAAGTGGCAGTTTTAAATACAAGGTGGAATAAATGTTTTAAATACACAAGGGATGATTCTTGAAACTTTAACCACATTGAGGCCTGCACTCTACCACAGATTTTTTTTCCTCATAGGTTTTACATGTAGAAAATATGGCATGATGTTATGTTTAAAAGGTATATTCAGTTATCTAACCAAAACATAAGAGTAATATGAAAGCAACACACAAGGACATTAAAAAAAATAGAAATCTAAAGTTCCAACCTGTCAATCAAGCTGATCAATTGGGAGTTTTCAAGCCACCTTTTTTAAACACCAGCGAGGCTAACAAGGTGAAACGCAGAGAAGGAGTGAGACTTCAGTATGCAGGGAAGGTCATGTTCTGCTGCCACTGAGATGTAAAGCACAGCTGCAGTTCCTCTTGAACATTACACCCATCAAGACCACTAAACATCACTTTCAGAGCAGCTCAGTGGTGAGAGATAAGCTGTCTCTCCACTTCTTTCTGTCTCCTTTCTTCTACTTCAATACGGACATATGAGAGCGTGAAAACCTACTGGGACCCTGATCAGATCTTCTCCCATATGTACACACTTATGCAGGCTCAGATCTACTTCAGATACACATATATGCAAACACGTACGAAAGCTCCCCAGAACAAGGCCTGAGGGATTTTTTTCCAAATGCCTTGCTGATCATCTTTGAAGATCCACCACCCTCAGGCCAATTGTCAGGCAGTCAGTCTCCTTCAAAGGACTGTATGCTGAGTGAGAGTGAGAGTGAGTGAGTGAGTGAGGTGATCTCAAGTATCTGTAACAAAGTTCAGGTAGCCTCAATTGAAGTACAGTGGCTATAGGGCCAGCCCTGCCATGATAAATAAGCAAAAATCGACAAGTAAGTGACCCCCCCCCCCTCAAAAAAAGGTTTATGATTGACATAAAAGATGGCAGCAAAGTACGACTTTTGCCTACATGAAGCTCCTCACTCCCTTCAACATAGTTCCTCAGCACCATGATGCTACAAGATGCAACACTGATATGAATTTGACCTGACAAATTGATATGGGTTCATTGTGTATCACATTTTTATACAGCATATAAATAAATAAGTACGACAGCAGCCATGACATCATAGTTTAAGAAATCAAGCATAGACAGTATGTAGGGACATCTCATGCACAGTCAACTGCGGGAATCAAGATTGCGGCGGATTACTAGTTGTGTTGCAAAGGTTCAAAATTTATCCAAATTCTACAGCACATAACCTGTCAACTGGAATATAAAAATATAGACAGCTTTTAATATTTGCCAAGACATGGAGTCCTCTGTGTCAGACTGGGTGGAGGGTGAGGACGGGACATTGAGAAAAGGGTAAAAAGCAGCATTGGTGAGATGGTGATGGAACAGCTCGCGTCGATGCAATTACAAGATGTGAGCACGAACAAGTGCACATTTGCATAGACGTAGAGGAGGATCGGTCATGTGATGCGACTTGAATACATTTCTTAGACGAAGGACAAAACATCTGATTGTTACTCTATGTGTAAAAGCTTTATTGAATGACGTGTTTCACTTGGCTGAGCTCCACTCATCTCCGAGAATGGGAAGGTGACGAGGTAGACACAAGTCTCACCTGCCTAAATGATGCATTGCAATATATGAATCAATCCAAACCGCAATGAAAGGAAATACTCTCGATGTTGCCACAATCATCATTGAGGCAATATGTAATGGATTTAGAAACACGTAAAGTTTGTTCCTCTCCTTCAGGGAACTATTAGCAATTGCAGAGGGGGCTAAAAACATGCAGACTTTCAATTTTGAGGTGACTTGAGTTTGACAACACTTTTGACACAGATGAGCAGTCAAGGAGTTAATACATTTGTTCTCAAGTTATTTTCACCACTTTGAAATTGACACATAAAAAAGAATGTCAGGTCAGACCACCTGTATAAGTTATATAAAATTGACCATATTTGGGCATACGTATGAGGTTACCTCCCAACAGCGATGATATACTTGATAAACCATAAAGTATGCTATGCCGTACACAATACATCACAGCAATTCAAATAACTAGCCAAAGGCTGTAGACCCTAACTTTTAAAGATCAGTAAAAAGCCAACATCTGCAAATAATCTGCATTGCGCTATCGAGAATCACAAGCCAAGGTGATCAATATCTGTTATCTTATCACGAGCAGTCCAAACTTGGGAGGCAGACACTACATAAAGTAAATCTTTCACAAATCTTTCAACCAATCGATAAAATCATTGGACGCAAAATTAAAAACACTCCCTCGTCAAAATATTCATGCTGTCTTTACCGTACGTGCAGTTACAACACAGCCTAAGGACCAGAAGCACCTCCATCGTCTCCTCTCCTTAATACTCCTGCAGACTGCCGACTTTTCCAGACACAGACTCAAGAGAGAGAGTGTGTATGTGTGTGTGTGTGTGCGCTTCGCCAAGCCCCCGCTGCATACACGATTAGAAAGGGGCAGGGCTGAAGCCTTAAAGCGGCATATCGGCCCAAATGCGTTCATGCACGTTTGCAGACAGACGGACAACACTGACCTTCCATTGTGACTGTCGAAGTACAATCTTTTGAGTCTTTAGGACTTTTCACTTTGAGATTCTGGAAGAGAAAAGGAGTGTCAGAATGATTTTTGAGGATAATTAACGTAACATGCGGTGTGATAGAGAGCAACTTTACACTAGTTGAAATGTCAATGCTGGTAATAAAATTTAAAAAAAAAATAAAAAAATTAAAAAACTTATTTGCGTCACATGGCTTGCATACATCCATTAAATATTTTCACATCACGAAATCCAATTCAACAACAAACTCACATTCCTATCAATATGGTTTCCTGTTGGGAAAAAAAGTCTGCTTGAACTAAGTCTGCTTCCCTTCACTGCGTCACATCTATGTGAAATATATTTTCTCCCCCATTCTACTGAGGATTTGTCCACTCGGATCTATGCGCTATGAAAACAAAATATTCATGGTACTGTAAATAAATGACTAATGTTGACATTTAATAAGGTTGAAAGAATAACAAACCTCAGATATCTTCTGGAACTGGCTGTTGGCCTGGCTGCATTTCTCTGCTGTCTCCAGTGCCACCTTATAATTGTCCACAAAGGCTTTGTACACTCCCAACTGGCTGGCCTAGAGCAAATCAAAAAAAGACATTAAGGCATTCAGGAGAATGGGACTTTTGGCTTCTATTGTTCAATGGCCAATGGAAACCAACAACAATGAACTGCTGGAATATGACATCATACAGTTACTTCATGGTGTCAAAATGCATTCAGAACTCTTTCAAAGCCTGATGAAGTCGGACGATTGTCTTGTTGGCCCTCAGGGTGGTGGGTGAGCTGGATCACAATACACTAGACTCTTCAATTAACCTAATACAGTCTGCATGTTTTTTAGAATGAAGCCAAAGTATCTGAATCTCAGAATTGCGAGACAGACGTGCAAAAAAACCCAAAATGTATGTATTGCAACGTAGGAGAATCAGCAGAGCTGAAAAAGCACACGACCATATTCGTTTTATTTTATCAGGCTGGCTCAATCCAAAAGAGACATTTGCACACAGGCACATGCTACAATAATTAAACATGAATTTTTGTTCATACTGCATATTTTCTAAACTCTTTTCATGCAATTACATTTCATGAAGCATAAAACCGGGATGTTAGAATGCAATAAAAGTTACAAAAAAAAACCCACACACACACCCAATAGTGACAAACAGGTCACGCAAATAATAAAAGTCAACATTTCATTTTTTTAATACACGTTTACAGTTTGTCGTTGCGTCGGCTAATCCGTTTCCCATTATGCTTCTCTCCTGATTCGCTTCCTTTTCGTTAACATCCCCTCTTAGATGCACTACATGCTCATTGCAACGCAAGTTTCAGACCGGCGCTGCATGAATATGCCCCAAGCTAAAAGGCTTGTCGGAAAGACAGCATGCCCCTTTGAGTCGGGAATTTGGATGCAACTGAATAGAGTGAATGATTCTTCTACTTTCATGTCCTTTCCTTCCTCTTCCCCTTAAGACTGTAACATGGAAAATAGAGGGCTATTGAGTTCGGAATGAACTCTTGCACGGATTTCAGTGAGTATCTGAAAGTGCAAGTGTTAAATCATTGATGAACGCCTGCGTTAAATCACCCCTGCCTTTATTCTGCAAACGATTTCATAAGTTAGTGGGTCCAATTAAATCCTAGGCTGCAGCTGACATCCCTTTTTTCTTGGGGGGGGTGAGAAAAGTTGGAGCAATAGCTGTCTTTTTCCTTTTCTTTTTTGAGACTGTTTTCACTAATGTTGCCCTTTGTGCTCCGAGGGCACGCTACTGATGAGCAGAAATGAGGAATAGGCCAATTAATGACTCTGCCATCTGCAATGTGGCGTCGCCACTCTGACTAAATGCGACACGCCGCCACATGATACTGTATGTCCATGCATACGGCACAGATGGGGACTGAAGACAACACTAATGGGTGTCACTTAGAGGCGCAACTCCAGGAGTTAACAGCGTGGCGGGTGATACGGATTACAGCAACAACAACAGTACTGGTGTCACTTGTGCATGACGTGCATGAAAGCTGAACTGTGTTGTGTTGCTGAAGAATTCTGTTGATAGTCTGGAATCGATAATCATGAATTGAAACAACTGAAGCCAAATGACTTCAGCGCAGGCAGTGTGGATTCTGTATCATTGTTGGGGAAAAATATATATATATATATATATATATATATATTGAAACATATTTGTGCAACAGCATTTTCGTTATTATCTTCCGCCATTTAAAAATAATGTTAAAAAAAAACGAATGGATAAATTGATTAGTACCATCTGCATAAAGCATCAAGATGGCCATCCATAAACAAACATCGCAGACATAATGATAGTTGTGCAGTCAAGATGAATTCACGACAAAGCACTCGCCCCCTGATTTACATGCCCACAAACCAACTCCCTTGAGTCGACCAATATTGCACTCACCAGTTTCTGGAACAGATGGCCTACAGTGACCTTCTCATCCCATTGTCGGATGTTGGGCAAGAGCGCGTCGTAGAATTCCTTGTGGATCTCAAAGATGTCCTGGATTTTATAGAAGATGGTCTCGACCTGCTGGATGGTAAGGACGGGCTGAGAGGTGGTCGCCGTGGCTTTCAGGGGACGCATCGGCTGGACAAGGACAACACAGAGACCCAAGTCAACGCAAGTCAATCGTTATTGGTGTCAAATAACAGTGAGCCAACTGTGACTTTTGTTCAGGGCGCCATCGCTTTGACAATCATTTAGAGACGCGCGAGCTACAAAGCAAGTGTGATCACACCCTATTTTTAGAGATTCTCTCATTACGGAAATATGAAATGAATATGATGGGGGGGGGGGGACTCTCGGCGAACATGGATCACGTGCTCAGAATGTGTTCACAGAGTTACACAGCAACAGAGCAGAAATAAGCTTAGCGGCCATAACATTCAGTACACTTGACTCGATACAAGAGCAATATTAAAGTCTGCCTTTTATGGTGATGCTCAGTTTGATTGCTATAGTCAGAGAGGAATTCATTTTGTAATATATTTATTATAGTAGAACATGGCTGCATCATAATGAGTCTCCAGCCAAACTCCGTGATAATTCAAACATTTCTCCCTAACACCCCCTCCAATGTCTTCCATAGTTCCTTTCAAATTCCTCCGGCGGTCTGAGCCAAAGTATGAATAATTTTGGCCTGAGCTGTATATTACTAAACAAACAAACAAAAAATATTCATCATGAAGCAATTTGAATGGTAAAGAATTGGTGCCAAGCAAAATAATGGCGCAGAAGAATGATGTTTTTGTGCGTTTTACCAATAGCAGAGCCTCCAGTTGGTTAATGTAGATCTCCTCACTGGCCAAGAAACCAGAGAGCACCAGCTTCTTCATCTCTAGTCCTTTCTCAATGTCTCCCTGTAGGACAAAACAAAATCATTTGGTCAGATTACATTAATACGCCGTGAAATATATGACACTTTTGAAACCTATTTTTGCCCAGGACTCATTTTAGTCACCACCCAAGTGGCTCATTTCCACATTAGGTTACCACGGCCAAGCTAACTGAAAGCATCCACATTTCTCACTTTGTAGAATGGCCCTTCAGGAGGTTGATCAGGATTCATTATCCAATCCAAATTGGGCAGTTTTCCACAGCTCTTCTGGTGGCTCATCATTCAGGATAGATTTTACTACATTTGCACTGTGTCTGTTGGTTTTGTTTTGAACCTTAGAGTCAAACCAAGGACTACAAATCTTTCGCATTCACACCACATGGACTGTTTTTTGCCTCCAGGGCACCTAGTGAACATATGCGATTTTATGTGCAATCTTTTACACACACACGCGCACACGCGCACACGCGCGCACACGCACACACGCACACACGCACACACGCACACACGCACACACACACACACACACACACACACACACACACACAAAAAAGCACAGGGTTATCAGTGGATCACTGCTTGCCATGTCCACAGTTGAATGCAATAAAGCAAATTGACTCTGAAGTGTCACATATGTCCTCAATGGAGGACAAAGAGCAACAAATTGTGCTGTGGGAGATTATTCATTAACGTAGTTCAATCCATACAATGGTATCAGTGTGGTAATAAAAGGTGTCAGGTATCATCTTGCTATTTCAAACTGCACTCTCTGACACTGCAGTCTACGTTACAACAAATAGGGTGTTTTGTAATAGACAGAAGTGCATGCAAACGTTAACTTAAATTTGGGAATCATCCTTGATGTCACTGTTGATTTAAATTTCAGCGGTTAAAACATCAACATGATACTCATATTTTACACCGGAAAGATCATGCTGCAAAATCTAACAATTTTTTTGTACATTTTTGGTTTCTTCCCATAACCTCATGAATATTTCCCATGGAAAAAAAAAAAAGATTTTCTGATCCCACCGGTGACGATTAGTAATAATCTAGGCGTGACTATTGTTCACATTACTGCAAGTTGGTGCTGATAATCGTGGATGTTTTTCTTTTTATTCTAAAACAGTACATGAAAATACAGTTCAGTTGTATTTAACTTTTAACCGTTTGTTTTGAATCAATTATTTTGGTGTAATTTGTGTTTAACTTTTATATGTAATATATATATTAATTAATGGACATCACGAATGAGTTTTTTTTCCCTGTATTTCAACAAAGTGTGAATGTTCAAACTGTGCTTAAAGGTTAACGTATCTTACAATAATTTAGCGGCGCGGGCACCCGCAGCGGCTCCTCTCTCTCCTGTGGAAAGTAATTTCATCTGTGCTGTATGTTGCACATGTAGCACATTTGACAATAAAGTTCACTTGACTTGAACTTGAACTTGATAACATCAAACATATTTTAGATATAAAGTCTCTGCTTTTTAGCACTGTCTTTATATGCTACTGTATTTTTATGTTGGCCTTTACACTGGTGGTCGGAGATCTTTTTGTAGGTGTTCACTGTGTAGTTTTAAAAAATAAAAGAAAGAACAAATGGACAAGACAGATTAGCAAGATTGATAGAAAGAAGGCAAATGTTTTTTTTCTTTTTTCAGAGACTATTTTTGACAACTAAGTCTGCTTGGTTTGATTTCAATCAAAATGGGTCATGACTTAAGGACCAGATGAAAACCCCCAGCTGGAGCTCAAATCTCACGGGGTTTCCAAAAAACTTAGGAGGTCCTAAAGCTGTGCTGTCACAAAACCACCTTCTACGTGTCTCTGAAATCAGTAACAAAAGTGACTCCTTAGATGTCCTCCATTAAAAAAGGATCACGATGTGTTGGTGACGTGTAAAGGTCATTCCTTTGGTGACAAGCATGTGGCAGCAGGATGAGAAAAGACCGGAAGTTTTTTTTTTTTTTCCCACCGCCGTTGAGGGAATATTTTCCCTCAGCATTACAAAGAGAGCCACTGTGCGGTACGAAGGCGAAGGCGAGACGAGAGTATAATTCCACAACAACCTGCTCCTCTATAGGCCATTTCCAGTGACGCTTTTCACATCGGCCTCTTAAAAAAAAAGCTGCAAGGAGGCATGTGCTCTGCCTCATCAGGCCACCCTGAGACGTCACACACATACTGTGTAGTTGTTTCCAAGGCCCACGCTGCAGCACACTCCATAGAAAATAAGAAATGGCTCCGCGTCACTTTGTATAACCAGGCTGGGAAGCATGTGTGTTTTCCTGCAGCCAGCTGTCTCACCTTGAATTGCCTGTGTAGCGGAGTGATGGGCTCCACTTCCTCATCTCCATATTCAAACACCTCCTCCTCCAGCACCCTGTCCAGATAGCACAGCACTTCCTCCTCTTCCTCCTCCATGTTTCTTTCTCTGCTCCTGCGCTCTCCTCTTTCTGCCCGTGTTTGCCTTCAACGGGGCCTGCCCAGACACATCGGTGTTTTCACACCGAGCAACTCGTCTGGACGGCGAGAGTGAAAGACAAATGACCCCGCCTACTAAACCCCACCCCCTTCCTCTGCTGGGCTTCCTGGTGTGCATGTGTGTGTGTGGTGCCACTGTTCCACGATGGTCGATGAAGACTGCCCTCCCTTCACGTCCACCCCCACAACCCACCCCCCCATCCTCAACAGAGCATATCCCTCCACTTCCTTGATGGCAGCAGAGGTGGTTTCGTTTTTACTATCCTACTTCACTCAGGGAACAATTTGTTTCTTCATTTTCCTCGGGCAAAAAGCCACTTCCTCATTGTGCAACCACAGTTTCACTCACCACTGCATTCTTGCCTGTTACTCTATTTCACTCCCGTTACTACTCACACGTTCACACTCGGTTGTCTTGCTATTGATCTGCTTGCCTAAGAGCCTCCGAGCTGAGGGCAGATCATGTGCAACTACAGCAAGCAAATTCCAATTACAGGTCACATGCTGCAGTAGGTCAATTGGTAACAATTTCACACATCCAGAAGTATAGGATACACTTACACAATTAAAAGCGAAAGCAAGACTTAAGACGTATTGGCGTGATGGAGCACTGTCCATTTAGCAGAAGCTCTCCTCATGCATTTTACCCTGTACAGGAAGTGGGATCCATTTATTGCTCTGCCAGCTTCCCTACAGATTAAACGCCCATCCCCTCGCCCTCACACACACACACACACACACACACACACACACACACACACACACACACACACTAAAATATTTGACCCAAACCCCATTTGCGGGCCATTTGTGCAAACTAAAGTTGCAAAATCTTTACTAGTTCTAATAATAATAATAATAATAATAATAATGGTAAAGGAGTATGGAAGTGATGCTTTTATTTTGAAGTAAATTTTCCTTGTCTTGCCTTGTTTTTTGTGCCTTCATGCAGCGTATGCTGTGAACAAGAGCTAAGGATAATGGCTCCGGGGCTCAAGAACAAAAATTTGAAAACTGGCCAAATATTGCTGTTATGCGAGTTATATGACCAACGGTTGAAATATCCACTTTTAGAAAACTGCAGTTGCTTGTTCATGTCATGCACAATGTGATGGCAACATCATCATGGTTAAAGGAGACAATCTTGCTACTCTCTCTTCTACAGCTACACACCTGCCCGGCGCCTCAGGTCTGCGGACCAGACATTATTAGAAGTACCAAGAACTAAACGGAGGCTCAGAGGGGATCGAGCCTTTTCTGTTGCTGGTCCCTCTCTCTGTAATGACCTTCCACTGAACATTCAGCAAGCCTCCTCGCTGCCCATCTTCAAAACCCGCCTCAAAACTCACTTGTATTCTTTGGCATTTGACTCAGCATGACTTAGATTTGTTCTTGGTTTTGCTGTTCGGTGCTTTCTACCGTCTTTATTACCGATTTGCTTTACTGTTTGTTGTATATGTTGAATTGCTCCATGTACAGCACTTTGTATGCAGCGATGGCTGTTTGAAAGTGCTCTATAAATACAGTTGAGTTGAGTTGAGTTGAGAGCTAAGCTTCAACCAACACGCAGGGCACGAGGGGAAAAAAAGCACCTCCTGTTTGCAAAGTGCAAATGTGACGGGAGCTATGGTGTATTTTGATTGAAGACGAGAATTGTGTTAGGTTACATATGATTGTATTATTATTATTTTATGTTCAGTGCATGTTTCATGTTTTGTGTACAATTTTGTGTACATTAAATTGTACAGTTTGTAGTTTGCTTTGTTTTACTGATGTCTGCAGCCAAGCCAGCATTGTGAATGATAATCTGTTCTCAATGTCCTTACATGGATAGATTGATGAAATTTTTAAAAATAAAAATAATAATAAACACATGTCATGCAGAATGTTTGCATGCCGGGGACAGAACCAGTCTATGCAGCAGAGAGAAATGTCAAGAAATTTCAAATTTATCTTGTTTTGCACAATGGCTTATTAAACTATTCAGTTAACACGATTTAGTTTTGAAGTGCCTTCTGGTCCACCTTTACCACATCAAGCCACTAGATGGAGGCACTGTTAAAAAAAAAAAACGAGCTCATATATGGTTTCATTACTTCACTCTGTTAATCTACAATGCTTATTTATCATGAGCAAATATAGAGCGCCTTTCTTTGCCCCCCAACTGGGGAGCAGAGATTTAAGAATTAAATGCATAGGCTGATTGAAGAGAGCAGGAGATTAAGGAAGAGCGTGATGATAAATAAAGAGACAGAGGAAGATATCAATTCCATTTGCTTCATATCAAACAAATAATAGGGCTGTTGAGGTATTTGAAGATATAGTCACATCCACGGAGACTTCACATTTGTTTCACACGCATTCAAGTACAAAAGTGGTCATGCTTTGAGGGAGAGCGTCATCTGGCTGCATTGATTGAAGTACATGATTCAACTTATATATTGTTTATGGTTCATATTGTGAAGAATTGTTTTAAAACGTTATAAGAAAACAATGTATTGTTTGAGACAAATATGAACAGCCATGATATTGAATCACAAACCGCGGTATAATCAATAATCGTGATATTCAATGTAATCGTCACACAAGTGTTGTGATTTGAATCAAATCGGGAGTGAGTCAGTAGCAGTTTATTGGTCACAAAACAAAATGTAGCTCATTTAGAATATAGATGACATTTGGAAAGAAGTGAAACTTACAGAGCATTATTAATGGTTTGGCGAGGGAGGATTAGCAAAATGTCTAAGTCAGTTAACTGGGAGTTAGCGACCAAATCTGAATGGCTTCACACCCCAACTGGCAAATTGATGCTTGTGGCCTCCTTGCCCATCTGCATGACTGGTAATTTCCTGCTGATCTGAAAGAGCCACCTGCAATGCGCTACAGGCACTCCAGCTAATGTGGCTAATCGCGAACAATTACAGAAGGTCTCGATCCGGTGCTTTGCTTCGAGGAAGAAACGATTGACAGCCCACAAGAGACACTGGAGTGAATAAATCCAATGTGACACTTCTAACGATAATAACAACGAAAACCTAATGGTGATCAATGGCCGCAAGTGATTTCACCTCAAAATGTGATGCGTTGACTCTTTACAACGCTTCTTTCGGTCCCAAGGAACTAACAAATTATCTTACTGTGTGACATGTTAAGTGTGTGTGCTCTCTTACCCCAGGAAGAAGACCCTCCGGCGGTGTGGGGGAGACCATTACTCCATCTGGTCCTTGGGGTGTGCACAGCTGGGGAGACATGGTGGGGGATTCATCTATATAGGGCAGCGTCTCCGAGCCATCTTGAGACTTGCCATCCTCCGTGCCGTCCCCTTCGTAGCCATCTGTGTTGTAGTTAAAATCTGTCAGAAAGCGTAACACAGAGTTGACATTTCCCTATGAAGGAAAGGGGACATTTTGCTAGCAAAGTAGGAATAACAAAGTCAAGGTTTGGTGTTTATGATGACGGAATATTCAAACTCAATGGCAGTAAAAAAAACAAACAAACAAACAAACAAAAAAACAAAGAATAAAATTTTATGTCAACATTCCTTGGGTGTTTAAGTGAATCCATATCATATATTATACATAATAATACAGATATAAATAAATACAGTACATAAAGGAGATGAAAAGCATCATACGCAAGACAATTTGTGCTCCCACCTGTGCCATAGCCTTGACAGGTGCAGTATTGATGTATGAATGTAAACAGCACCAACTAGCTGCAACATCTTCGCAGCAGCTTGAAATAGGCACGCATGACTACAAACGCGCAGGTGACAAGCTGTCAGTTAAGATAAGATAAGAAAACCTTTATTTGTCTCACAATGGAGAAATCCCCAATGAAAATTAATGAACCCCGTTCACACACTGTTGCAAAACGACATAAGGACACTAATTTGCATAAAGCGCATACGCATCATCTGCTTATCTAAATGTGTATTTACTGGTGGGAGGATGCAAGGGTTGAGAGTTTCTGGCTACTGTCATATAAACTTCATTGGAGAGGCTTTACTGAGCTTATTCTCCTGAGCAGAACACAGTAGCAGTTGAGTTTTACAGCATTCATCCGTTTTAGCAGAGGCTCGGTCCATTTTCATTGTTCACTAGAATGCTGACCAACCACACGCAAGCTGAACTGTATCCAGTGAGGAAACACCCTTGCCCTTTTCACACTGTCGGCTGAGATGGCCAATGGCCCCTGCAAACAGGCTGCTCTGGTACCGTTGGGACGACAGACTGTCACACATCAGAGTGCCAAGAATGTCCAGCACCCGGCCGTCTGACACACATCACAAGCCAATGTCACCAGACCAGCCCCTAGTCATACTCAAATAAAAAAAATTGAAATCCCCACATCTACCATTTGCATATGAACTAAGGAAAGTCACACCGAGCACACGGTTTAAAAATCACAATGAGAGTAAACAAGAAAAATTGCCCAAAGAAACTGCTTTTGATGATGTTTGAGCAAACACAAAACAGTTCAGGATATATGCCACCAATTGCCCGAAGACAGCTGGAATAGGCTCCAGCATGCCCGTGCCCCACGTTTGGATCAGTAGCTCTGATAATGGATTGCTGAATATACAAGTTTAATACTTCTATATGTTTTTTTTTTTGTCCCACACTAGAAAATATTGAATACTGTTCAGCTATATGAAGCACTTTATCAAAACCCTTTATCATTCCAAAGGGTACTGTTTTAAAAAAGCAATAACTATTGCATTGGACAAAAAAATATATCTTTACACCCGTACTGGTAACACATTGAAATAGTGGTTAGCATATGTCATCTCACAGCTCGTATCTCGGCTCCAGCCTTCATGTGTAGAGTTTGTTGCTCTACCCGTGCTTGCACAGGTTTTTCCAGGTACTCTGACTTCCTCACACATTCCAAAAACATGCACGTTAGCTTGTCTGAAATCAATCGAAATAATTGGCGAGGCTCTAGTCTGCGACTAATTTGGGCATGCAGGTACCCCAACGTCACAATGGTGCAACTGAAAAAAATCTGAGGTTGTAACCACATACAACCAGCCTCCTTGACTCACAAAGCATCAAAGCCTGACTCTTTAATTCATCAAGTGACATATATCATGGTCTCAGCCAACCAGAGTCAGGGAAGGGCAGGACGCTCCTCATTTGGCCATAGTCCAGATTTTCATGTTTTTTGGGGTTTTTTTAACAGCATTGCTTGAGGAGCATGAACGGAAACATTTCACTGCATTGTACTTTGTACATACGTGTATATGAGAGTGTACATTCCTTGACAATTAAGTTTTCAACCAGATATTTTGAACAATGTTTTTTTCTTTGGGTAGTTGTGTTTTATTTTTAGTTTATCTTAAACTCATTTAATACATTTTCTATTATCATTTCTATTATTATATCGACTGATGTGCAATACATCGTAAACTATTTTCGGCCATTACTGTATCGGCAACCCAGTAATATGCCTACTGCAATTTCCCACTCAGTATAGTGAAAAATAAATGTGACTATGTGAGTGTTGAATGGCTGACGTGGGCTGCTCCACGTCACTGTCATATGGTCATCAATCAGAAGGTGACGCTGGGGAAATTAAAATCCTTTATGAAAGTCTGTCTGTACATCCTGGAACTTTTACAATGCTCATCATGGTGCAGTATTTCAACAGCAATAACATGATATGGGATTGAGGCGAACGAACAAATGTTGTAAAACCACCTTAAAACGTGAGAATGTGAACGACAGGAGATTCAGTCAGTTAACAGTAAGACATCTATCCTGTAAATTGCAGTTTCAGCTACTTCTAATGATGCTTTTGGCAAGGGATTTAAACATTAAAAAAAAAACACTTACACCTAATTTGCTGCTTTATTCAGCTTCCCCTGCATTTTATTTCCACTGTAGCAGCCTTGTGAATCACCAGGTGCTCAAACATCTGTCTATTCAGGAAAACACACGCACACACACACACACACACACACACACACACACACACACACACACACACACACACACACACACACACAAAAGTGGAAGACAAATAGCCGCAAGTCACATTAGTGGAGCCAAAGCAGTACACATTGCAGGCCACTTGCCCCACGAGACATCTCGGCAGCGATCAATCTCACTACATTGGCACGTGAATAAAACCTCCATTCACAAACTCCGTGTTATCACTCTCAAACTGGCGCAAACAGTAATGGACACATTCACGCACAGGGAACATTGAATAAGAGTTGTACGTACTTTGCAAGGAAGCTACCCAAGGGTGGTCACTAATAAAAATATTAAAAAAAATAACATATGGCTATATGAAAAAAAATATGCATTTAAATAGGCAGTAATGCTTAGTTTTGATTGACACCAAGTTGTTTTTTAACACTATGTTAATTACACTGACTGCAGTTTATATTAGTGTTTTCTGCAGTGCTGTACCTCAAACAGATAACTATTGTGAATATGATGACACTCATGTTGCTAAATTGGCAACGGATATATAAGCCAAAGTTCCCAGTAGAATGCCACCAACATTGCAAACCACGGGAATAGTTAACACCCATCTGACACTCTCAATCAAATTTGATAATTTTATCTTTGTAAAGGCATGGTTTTATGTGATACACCTCTTGCATGAGATTCGATTCTATACGATAGCACAAGTGGTCAAAATATACATTTGATTGCTAGAAGCAGTGTTTTGAAAACCTCTGAAATAGACCCGCACTTGAGATATTCAGTCATTTCCCCCTCATGATCGAGGTGATAATGGGCTACCTATAGAGCTTTGATAGAAATATGCTAAGTGCACTTCAGAGGTCAATAAGCTGCTGTGACTCACACACATCGGATACCGGATTGACGAGCGCTAAAGGAAGTACTGGTACTGACAGGACTGAAACGCCTCTTCGAATGAATGACATTTCCACAACAGCTGAATATCTTCATGGGCCATATGTCTGTAGGTAGACAGAGATAAGACAACCTATTCCACGCATGATTTGCTCTTACCCCCTGACATGTGCAACCCAAACCTCGTGGCAGCCAGTCGCTATATATTGTAATTGGCTACTCGAAATCCCAAGGGTTCGCGCTGCTTGGTTACAAGCGTGTTCTTCCTTAGATGAGAACTGTCATGTGTGGGAGAGCGTTCAAGTTCCTTTTTTTTTATTTTTTTTTTTTTAAACTAACACTATGATTATCCATTATTGTAATACCATTTCATCTTTGTGGTTCTCATCTGTGTCCAACTGTTTGTGAAACGGTATGTTAGAACAATCGTTCACATGCAAGAGCTATTACAAGCAAGGAAACGCCCACATGGAGCACACTCTGTGCCGTTCAGCAGATTTAGCGTGTGGGCATCGAGACCACAGTCGTTTCGGCGCGCTAATGGAAATTGTCTCAAACTGTGCAAGGGAGAACAAGAATGAGGGAATCTATTAAAATTAAAGCATCTGTCGACAGCCCTGCGGGCAACGCCACTGATGATTGCGCTGTCTGCTTACTACACTCACTCGCTCAATTTGAATACTATGCAGAAGTAAGATGACACCAAGAGCAAGGAGTCCTGTAGCACCATATGAAAACGAGTCGGGAGAAACCAGATGCTAAGCTCTGATGTTAAAACGGAAGAGTAAAATTCGAAACGCACTCATTACTGCAAAGACAACCACCTAGGTTGAATCAATCACAATGGAGATATTCGCATTTGCCAGTCTGTGTTCACAGACAACATCATCACCAACAAAAGATGATCAAAATATTTGCACCTTTCTGGAGCATTAAGGCACAAGGGGATTTCCTTTTGTTAAAAAATAAATAAAATTAAAAAATTAAAAAATAAAAATACTTTGGAAATGAGAAACCAATGCCAATCCGTAACCAATTTGGTCATTGGTGCAAACACCATGTCTTGCAATATCCCCGAAATTATGCAGAGTGATTTCTTTTGGTTTACAAAAACACAGACATTGCATTGCATTAATATTCAGAGTCCTATTTATTAAAATTGCCTTTTCTTGACTTCCTATGTGTTTTATTTTTGTTTAGAACCACCAGTGTGGCTTCTTGCTTTCCATTGCTTGTTTTGTGCATTGTTGCCTGTGTTGCCTTTTTGATTTATTATTATTATTGTGGCATGGGTGGCATGTGTGGCTCATTTGACTTCTTGCTCCCTGTGTGGAGCTTTTTTTTTTTTTTTTTTTTTGGGGGGGGGGGTATTGCGTTTGTTACTCATTTAAATTCAATTCGTTTTTATTCAAATTTTGACCTTGTTAACCACTGGTTTCAAGCAAGGAGAGTCAAACAATAACAATAAAGAGAATGTTTGTCTTTAGAAGTTTATCCATTGAACAAAACCCATCACTCT